GATGATTTTTCCCGGAGAGTTTGGGTGTATACAATGAAGACAAAGGATGAGGTGTTAGGATTTTTCTTTAAATGGAAAAAGATGGTGGAGACTCAAAAGGCAGAAAAATCAAACGTCTCCGTACTGACAATGGTGGAGAGTACAAAAATGATCCATTTATGAAAGTATGTGAAGAAGAAGGTATTGTCAGGCACTTCACTGTCAGAAGTACACCACAACAGAATGTGGCGGTAGAGCGTATGAATCAGACATTAGTGGAGAAGGTTCGGTGTATGTTATCTAATGCTGGGTTAGGCAAATAATTTTGGGATGAGGCTTTGGTCTATGCTTGTCATCTTGTCAACCGCTTACCATCGAATACTATTGGTGGTAAAACACCATTAGAGAAATGGTTTGGAGAACCTGCTACAGATTATGATTCCTTACATGTGTTTGGTTCCACTACATACTACCATGTTAAGGAGTCAAAGCTGGATCCAATAGCAAAGAAGGCAATCTTTATGGGGATCACCTCTGGTGTGAAAGGCTATCGTCTTTGGTGTCCAGAAACAAAGAAAATAATCTTCAGTAGAGATGTTACCTTTGATGAATCTACCATGTTGAGAAAGGCGACTTCAGAAAAATTGGAGCAGACAGATGGAACTCCCAAACAGGTGGAGTTTGAAGGAAGCAGAATTGACCCAGCCAGTAAAGAAACTAATGTTGACTCTCCTATGGTAGAAGAAGAGTCAGATGAAGAAGAGGTTCAGACCCAAGAACCTCCACAGCAACATGAATCAATTGCACTCAGAAAGGGAAAGAATACCATTAAACAACCTGCTCGTTATGCTGATATGGTCTCTTTTGCATCACCAATTGCAATTGATGACGTTCCTACCACTTTTAATGAAGCAGAGAACATAAAAAGTGGAGGATCGCCATGAATGAAGAAATGCAATCCCTTCAAAAGAATCAGACGTGAAAACTAGCTAGTCTTCCGAAGGGAAAGAAGGCAATTGGGTGCAAGTGGGTATATGCAAAGAAAGATTGATTTCCTGACAAGAATAACATCCGCTACAAAGCAAGATTGGTGGCTAAAGGCTACGCTCAAACGGAGGGAGTTGATTATAATGAAGTATTTTCTCCAGTTGTAAAACATTCCTCCATCAGAATTTTGTTGGCTTTGGTAGCACAGTTGGATTTGGAACTAGTTCAGATGGATGTAAAAACTACATTTTTACATGGAGATTTGGATGAGGAAATCTACATGACTCAGCCAGATGGATTCAAAGTTGCTGAAAAAGAAGAGATGGTGTGCAAATTAGAAAAATCGCTATACGGATTGAAGCAATCTCCAAGACAGTGGTACAAGTGATTTGACAAGTTTATGATAGGGTAGAAGTACACAAGAAGAAAATATGATCATTGTGTGTATTTACGCAAGCTACAAGACGGATCCTATATATATACTCTTCTTTATGTTGATGATATGCTGATAGCTTCCAGGAGTCAGACAGAAATTGCGAAACTAAAGACTCAATTGAACAGGGAGTTTGAGATGAAGGATCTTGGTGAAACAAAGAAGATTCTAGGCATGGAGATATCAAGGGATAAAAAATTGGGGAGGCTTTCTTTGTCTCAGAAAGAATATCTGAGAAAGGTACTAAAACGTTTTGGTATGAATGAGAAGTCAAAACCAGTTAGTACACCTCTTGCTCCTCATTTCAAGCTTGGTGCATCCATGTCACCTAAGGATGATGCAGAACGGGAATACATGTCAAAGGTTCCGTATATAAGTGTTGTTGGTAGCTTAATGTATGCAATGGTGTGTACGAGACCCAATATTTCACAGGCAGTTGGGGTTGTGAGCAAGTATATGCATGATCCTGGAAAGGAGCATTGAGAAGCTGTGAAATGGATTATGCGGTATATTCTTAACACCGTAGATATTGGTTTGGTCTTTCAGCAGGACAAACAAGATGGTTAGTGTGTAGTTGGGTATTGTGATTCAGACTATGCAGGTGATTTGGACAAGCGTGGATCAACTACTGGTTATGTGTTTACATTTGCAAAAGCACCAGTCAGTTGGAAGTCCACCTTACAGTCAACAGTGGCTTTGCTACTATAGAGGCTGAGTATATGGCAGTTACAGAGGCTGTGAAGGAGGCAATTTGGCTTCAAGGGTTGTTTGGTGAATTGGGAATGGAACAAAAGCACATCAAAGTGCACTGTGATAGTCAGAGTGCTATTCATTTAGCAAAGAACCAAGTTTACCATGCAAGGACGAAGCACATCGATGTTCGATATCACTTTGTACGAGAGATTCTAGAAGAAGGTGGAGTCATAATCCAAAAGATTCGGACCACTGAGAATCTTGCTGATATGTTGACAAAAGTGGTAACTGCGGTCAAGTTTAAACATTGTTTAGACTTGGTCAATATTGTTACAAATTGAAAGATGAATTTGCAGACACTACTGAAGATTGGATTTTTTGAGAGACGTGTGTGGAATTTGCCAAGGTGGAGATTTGTTGGTTTTTGGCAAATATCCCACATTGGTTTTGTATAAGGAGGAGGGGAAATTCTTTTGTTATAAATAGAGCCCTCCTCCTCCTTAGTTTATCATCCCACAAATATAAGCCTTCTTCACTATTAAAGGCTATTTGTACTCTTTCTCTCTTTGTAATATTTCCTCTATTAGTGAAATATTATTTTAGTAGTGTTCGAGGAGGTAGGTAAAATTTTGGCCTAACCTCGTTAAATTTTGGTGTTCTCTTTTAATGTCTATTTAATAGCTATTATTGGGTATAGTTGTTGTTAATTATTGTCCTATTAAAATTACTTGTCTTGGTAGTTCTGTCTAAGGAAAGTGGGTTATAAGAGGGACCATTATGACCCCTCCTCTTTCCTGGGAATCTACCTTGGTGTGATTTTTAGTACAATCATTTTCACACTAGTCACCTAGATAATAGTTTTCAAGGTGAATTTGTTATTATTGGTGGAAATTAACCCGAATTCCACAACATTGTCTATGTTGAAATTCTTTCAAAATACCAAAAATCTCTTCCTCTTTTTTGTCTAGAATTTCAAAACTCAAACATAAATTTTAAAACTTTGAAAATTTGTGAGTTGATTTCAAAATTCTCTTGAAAGTTTCGACACTTCTATTAAAAATTTAGAAACTTGAGTTTTCGATTGTTAAAATTTTATATTTTTGTTTTAAAAGTTTTAAAAAATTCATTCAGAATTTTAAAATTTTATGAGCAGATAATCTCTTAACGTGTGAATTTAAAAATTCCTCCAAAGTTTTAAATAGTGAGAGCATGTAAATATATTATCTTGTAAGACTTCATTCTTATTTGCTTATGTGTTTATTTTATGAGAAAATATGTATTATTTAGATTTACAAGATGTTGAAATTGAAATTTTTATAAGATAAGCTTTTTCTTACACCTTAAGCTCAACTAAATCAATTAGATATTGAAATTGAAACTCTAAATTTACAAGATGTTCATTTATGAAAAGTGGTTGGATGAATCAAATGATTTAATCAACTAAATTGAAGTTCATGCTCAAGTTAACAAATAACTAAACCGAATTTCATTCTTTGAGTTATAGTACTCGAATAATTTTACAATTACAAGTTCTTTGTTCACATTAGAAGTATAATTATAGGGTAGCATGTATAGGTTTTGAAGTATAAATCTATGAGTAGATATATTTTTGTGGGACATTTTGGATGGTTGTTGTAAATTCACAAGGCACACTTTCTTGTGAAGTCAAATGAGATGTCATTGTGGGCGACACTGCTATTATTATAAAGTGATGTAAGAATCGAAAAAAAAGCCCTTAAAGATGAACCAAATAGTCAGTTTCCCTTATTTGTTTTAGCATTTAGCCATGAAAATTTTATTTTTAGGTAAAAAGTTACTATTTTAGAGTGTTTACCATTTGTTAATTAACTATTTTTATTTATAGAGGGTTTTTTTTCTCAAAATGAAACGTTGGATGTCAAAATATTAAAAAGATATGGGTCAAAATTACTATTTAATAAAAAGTTTTGAGTTTTTTATTATATTATGCTAGACAAGAATCTAAAAAATAAGGGTAAAGCACACAAATAGTCCATCGATTATAGGAAATTGTTTTGTTGAATCCCCTGACTATTAAAGTTACAAAATTCTCCATTGACTATAGGAGTTGCTTTGTTGAGTCCCTAAACTATTAAAAATTACAAAATGGCCATTCGAGTATTTTATTTTTGGAAATTAGTCACTCAAGTATTCATACGTTCTAACTTGTCATTTTTCGTTAAAAAACTAACATTTGTCTGAGTTGAGCGTTAATATACTTACTAAGATATAGTAAAATTTGATCCCAAAACAGTTTCACATGAATAGTCGTTTGAGATTGTGAGATTATATTTAATTATATCATAGTTAACAGATTAACATCCAGTTCAAACTGCCGTCAATATTATAACGGAAAAGAACGAATTTAGAAAATATATATTCAGATAACAGTTTTATAACTGTTAATAGTTAGGAGATTCAACAAAATAACACCCTATAATCAGTGGATCGTTTTGTAATTTTCAATAATTGAGGGATTTAACTGTACTTTGCCAAAAAGATAAGAGGGGCCTAGAAGAACTACTATACACGGGGCGTCAACAAAAACATGGGATGTTGAAACGACAAGATGCACGCGGATGAAACCCTTAATGACATTTGCTTTACAGTTATGTCTCCAGTTTTTCGCACGAGTGCTTGTCGTCTATATACAAACAATTCAACCAGAACAAGAAAGATAATGGTTTACCACTGTGAACTCGACAATTATTTCTGTAGATTTAGATATGGTTGTTCTTCGATTGCGAAAGATATAATAATTTTCGTGTTTGAGGGGCATTTGAGTCATCTACAACCCTGCAATGGCCGATACTTTTTCTATATATTTCCATGGACATTGAAACAAAACTTAAACCATCAAGGTGGTCGGTTTTTCTTTCATTTTTTTAGCATGAACTCATCAGGCAACAGTGTCGATGCCGAACCGCAATCTTCGTCGACCTTGAAGCTATTTGGTATTAGAGTCAGTGCCGATTACGAATGCCCTCCAAGAGTTCGTAGAAATGTCAGTGAGTACAGGAGATTCGAGTGCCAATTTTGTCACAGAGGATTCGCAAATTCTCAAGCTTTGGGTGGGCATCAAAATGCGCATAAAAGAGAACGACGAGCCAACCAAGGTTCATTTTTCAGTCATCGTCAACAACAACGATTTGTGACGACGGGACCGGTTATCTCGCCGCATTCAGCTCGGTCGAGGCGGTTGATTTATGGCAGAGGGTCCACAAGCATGGGTCCAAGGGGTGGTCTGTCAGCATCAGCACCATCTTTGCCAATGTTAACACTAAGGGATCCTTGTCCCTTTCATGCTGGGAGTGGGGCGCAACAAGGTCAGAGTCTGGGACCATTTCAAGTACAAATTCATGAAGTTGGCGTGGGCTCAACGTCGGAGTCATCATCAGTGGTTAAGGAAGTAAACGAACCAGGTGACATTGATCTCCATCTTCGGCTAGCACCATCAGGGATTTAAACTACAATTACAGTCACACTTTTGATTGCGTTGCTTTAACGTTATTGCCACAATAGTGGGTGTTATAATAATTATTGCGGATATCACAATTGTAAAATAACAATTTCAGATGATATTTTTATAATTATATAACGGCCCTATTTTGATAATAGCTCTGTAAATCCATGAAGACATTTTACTACTACTGCCACCTCCAGATGATTGAGCCAATGACGATTAAACGCTTTTATGCTGGCTTTGAATTTTAGTCCAACATAGATGTCAGATTCGTAGATATGGTCTAACATATATGCTTTTAATTTTTATTTTTTTTTTAAATATGTTTTGTGGACCATATCCTTAACACGAAGAAACCATGTTGTCACCAAATCATCTCCAAATTGACCCGATTTTCTCAACGAGAAGGAACAACGTCATCTTCAGCAAACAATTTACCTGAAAGCGACCAGATCTCTTCAACATGGATGAGCAGTGTCGTCTTCGACACCAAATTTTCCAGAGTGACCCTACCTCCTCAACGCGAAGGAGCAGTGTCATCCTCCTACAATCAAACTACCTTAACGCGAAAGAATCGTGTTGTCACCAAATTATCTCCAGATTGACCCGATTTCCTCAACGATAAGGAACAACGTCATCTTCAGTAAACAATTTACCTGAAAGTGACCATATCTATTTCACATGGATAAACTGTGTCGTCTTCAACACCAAAAATTTCCAGAGTGACCCGACCTCCTTAACGCGAAGGAGTAGTGTCATCCTCCGACAATCAGACTTCCTCAACGCGAAGGAACCGTGTTGTCACAAATTATCTCTAGATTGACCTGATTTCCACAACGAGAAGGAACAGTGTCATCTCCAGCAAACAATTTACCTGAAAACGACCAGATCTCTTCAACATGGGTGAGCAGTGTCGTCTTCAACTCCAAATTATTTCTAGAGTGACCCGACCTCCTCAACGTGAAAGAGCAGTGTCATCCTTCGATAATCAAACTTCCTCAACACGAAGGAACTGTGTTGTCACCAAAATTATCTCTTGATTGTCCCAATTTCCTCAACGAGAAGGAACAACGTCATCTCCAGCAAACAATTTACCTGAAAAACGACAAGATCTCTTCAACAAGGATGAACAGTGTCGTCTTCAACTCCAAAGTATTTCCATATTGACCCGATCTCCTCAACGCAAAGGAGCAATTTCATCCTCAGACAATCAGATTTCCTCAACACGAAGGAACTGTGTTGTCTCCAAATTATCTCTAGATTGACCCGATTTTCTCAAACAGAAGGTGCAATGTCATCTTTAACAAACAATTTATCTCAAAATACACCCAAACTCCTCAACATGAAGGAAGAATATCACATTTTGGCAAAGGGCTTGATCCTCAAAATCAAAACAATCAGAGAGGTCGAACAAAATTAGTATCTTTGATCTTTGTCCTATTCCTGTTACACGACAATGGACAAAGAGGGGCAGTTGTAGACCTTATATTTTACTCGGGTTATAAAGGACCCGAAAATAAACCCAGTAGCCTATAGACAATACCAAAGCCCTAAAACTCAAAAAAGAACACCTCTTGATGCACTTTGCTAAGCCAGCACCGGCCAGCTCACCACCACAACACCAAATCTGCGGCAGTAGCAGCCCTAGCATGAAAATAACAAAGTGACAACTCATTCCCCATATTAAAAAAAAAGAAGAATAGCATGCAAAGGCAAAAAGAATTGTATTTCCTTTCTTTTTTCTTTTTAATGTAAATCAAATGGTATCTTAAGAACCCCTTCAAACCAGTGTAAATCTCACCTTGAAAAAATCGAAAAAATTCAATAGAAGATCAGAAAAAAAAAAACAGATTCAAACGAGCACCACAACAACTCTCAAAGGTATTCTTTTTACCTTGGCATGTACCACTTTTCCTTTCTAATATATATATATATATATATAATAACCAGTATAATAAAGCATAATAAAAAAGGGAGCCTTTTTACCTTAGCTTCAGATTCTTAGTTGGATAGAGGTTTCATTCGCTGGCGTTCGAGGGTGAGGTTTTGGCCAGTAAGGGGTGTTCAGGTTAAGGTATAGTGGAAAAACGAGTGTTTTCCTTTTGGTTTTTGGGTTGAGAATAAAGGAGGCGAAACCATTGTTTGTTAAGTTTGGCTTTAGGGCTGTTCGGCCACCGTTGGTGGTGGCCGAATGACTAAGAGCCACCGACGTACGATAGAGCAAATGGGAGGCTTGTGTTTCGACCGAAATTCTGTTAGGGCTAGGGATGTTTGTTTGTCTTTTGGGTTCGATCTTGGCTAAGGTAGAAAGGAGAGAAGGCTAAGGGTTTCATCGGGACTGGTTTGGCCACTGATGTACGGTAGCCGATCGAATTTTGGGCTTAGGGTGAGTTTCAGCTGGTGAGAGGGAGACTGAGAGAAAAAAAGATGATATTTTGGGTTGAAATGGCTAGGGTTTCGGGTTGTTGGTAAAAAAGAAGCTTAAATATTATAGTGTTAGGGTTATTCTGGCTCATGCCCTTATAAGTCGGTCATTTTTTTACAAAGTGAACCCTATTCCCTTCAATTTCACGAAAGGCTTGAAATGTGTATACCCTGGCTGCGTGATTTTCCATATTTTGGTTAGTGTAAAACAAATAGGGAATATTAATCTAAGAACCCTCTAATATCGCCGTGTTTTTACATTCGGGTCCCCGAATCCTTACTTTTTTATTTATTTTATTTCAGCACTATAGTTTCATTATTTTTAATTTAGTCACTAACATGTTGAATTTCCTGTTTTATTTGTTTTGATTTTGGTACTTTACTTTCTTTTATTTTATTTTAGCCACTGACTTACTAACATTCTAACATTTATTTTATTGTTCGAAGTAACATACTAACTTTCGTTTATTTGTTCTTATTTATATACTAACTTTTTATTTTACTGTTATCACTGACTTACTAACCCCTAACTTTTAAATTTGCACAATTTATCCTTTTTTATTTATTTAAATTTCCAGCACTTTAAATTCTAGTACTTTATTTTTCCGCCCTTTATTTTTCCCTATATTTTATTTCAGTCATTTTAATTTCCATCATTTAAATTTCTGTATTTACCTTTTAGCATCTTAACTTATACTTTATTTTGTTTTAGTCATTAGGCTTGCTTGTGGTATATTTGCATTTATTGTCTGTTTTTTTTCAATATTTAGGTTTCAACCTTATTTATTTACCTTTTTATTTTGGCTGATATTTTGGTGGTGGGTTTAGAAAGCTTGTATGTTGGTCCATTATTTATGCGTATATTTAGACTTTATTTTTATATAAATCATCATTTTTTCTAATATATGTAAAAAAAGAAAATTTTATTGTGAGGGAAATCTATAAAGACATCTCTCAACTACAAGGGAATGTGTCTTTTCGATGATTTTTCGCACAAGAGTTTTGTTTTGCATTCGACAATGTCCTTTGCTTTACATTTTTATTCTGATTATTATTCACCTCATTTTATTTTGTTTTATTTTATTTTGATATGAGGAAAATGTGAGGTATGTCTTTTTGTGAGGGGAATCTATGAGAAAGTCTCCTAACTACAAAAGAAGTGATTTCCCGAGGATTATTCGCACAAAATACATTCTTTTATCTGAACATCCTTAAAATTTAATATAATACTATTATTTTTTTAAACTATAACATTTATAAAATTTAAGAAACATCATTTTGTGAGGGGAATCCATGAAAAAGTCTTCTTACTATAAAGGAAGTGCATTTTCAAAGATTGTTCGTACAAAATGACGTGATTTCTCTTATAAAAATAATTAAATTTTTGGGGTTAAATAAATAGCTTTATTCTATAAAAATATATTTAGGGCTCTTTAATCTTATTGACCCGCTGCATTTATTATCTTAGTTGTTTTTGAAAATTGACATTTTTAAATAAATTCGAATAAATAGAAGGATCTTAATTTAAATATGTTTTCAAGTTTGTAATTCACAATATTTAAACATCATTTAATCGTTTAGATATCAAAACTTGGGTGTTGTGGGGGTGCTCACCCTTCACCACACGTAATTGACTCTCGAACTCTTAAAAATGAATTTTTAGTAAAACACATAATATTTTTCGTCTTTTAATGATTTTTCTTAACTCATTAAAATGATGTTTAAGGTTTCTAACCTACCTAACTTAAAGGTTGGTGGTGACTACAAAATCAAATTATTTTCAAAATTATATTTCATCGCCTTGCCCGAGGTTACAATTTTAAAGTCTAACAAATCCCCGAGGGAGACGGTATGACAATAAACTTTAAATTCCTTTCACTCAAGATTTTATCTCACTTGAGAATTTTCTTCTCAAAATAAATTTCGTCTCTCTTGATATTGCTTTTCTTAAAAAAAAATTATCTCACTTGAGATTACTTTTCTTAAAATAGATTTCATCTCGTTTAAGATTGTCTCTCTTGAGACAAATTTTTTCCTCATTCAGGATAATTTTTTAGAGTTTTCCTTATAATCACTTCATTTGAAAATCAGATTTTATCTCTCTTGAGATAAAAAGATTATTTTCAGTCTCACACGAGGTAACATTGTTTCTAAAATAAAAAAATAAATGACATAAATAAATTTAAATGTGCTAATTAATGGTAATTGTGTCTTTGTAGGACCAACATTTAGGAGCTTGGGGCCAAATCAGGCAAGAAGATTTGTAGATGCCGATGGTTAGACCAATTAACAGAAAGACAAGAGAATGCAACAATAGAAGGGTCGAAGAAGGATGATGGTGTTGAAGAAATTGAGTTGCAATCAGACAAAATTAGACAATTACTTGTCTTTGCTACGTTATTGTTTCCATGACAACAATCAAAGAGGGATAATTGTCATACTCTAATTTTTTATGAATAATTTAAATGGAATCCAAGACAATTGAAGATCGATTTTAGAGTTCTTCAAGCGATGGTTTTAATAAAATTGAAGAGGTTAATTTGAGCTTGCATTAGAGAATTAATGGGTCAGATCAAGCA